AAAAAATAAAAATGTCCATTGTAAGTTAAATATTATGTTAATGTTAAATAATACACATAACACATAATATAAGGTAAGGACTTACCTACACAGTAATAATATTATATATTCTTAATCGATAGTCATTAAATTTATTATATAAGGTTGTATAAATATAGATAAAATATGTGTACCCAAAACATGTAGGTACTTTACATTGATACGTTGTAATTTATGATAGATAATTTGTACATACTTCCTTCATTAAGACATGGGTTTTTTCTTTATTCGGCTGAGAAACCACCTGTACCGGAGCTACAAGCCTAGAAATTACTGGTCGAGGAAACCACGACTGATGGGCTACTCGGCGTTTGGTTCTGTCCGAAGTCGATTTACTAACGAGTTCAGCCTCACTCAAGTTTTCATTGGGCAACTATGATAAACACAGTATTATTTAGCCAAAAAAAATTATAAGAATATAAGGATGGGAGCGAAACTTTTTCCTGAAGTTAGAAGTTTTGGCGTGCCACGCGTGTACCGTTATAACATATTTAAACAAATATAAAAATATAATATACATATTCAATATTCATATTATAATACGTAACAATAAATGTCAAAATAAAGTTAATAGTTCAATTAATAACCATACCTCAATTATGGTTTTAGAAGTCCGCTGGAGTTTTTGCGGTTGAATACCTAAAGAATAAATAAGGAAATAGATATTGATACAATAGGTACACTATATATATAGGTTCATATAATTTCCCAATACCTATCTATATTGGTACCTTAAATATAAATTTTTCTAAAAAAATCAAAAATTAACGTTTTGCATAACTAATAAATAGATCTCGAACTGAAAGTTTAAATTCTTTCTAATAGTCATGAATATTATGTTTTAACCTATATAATATGCATACATATAATGTATAAGAGTATACCTACCTACTTTTATACGATATTCCTATTATAGTTATAAATTTATAATATTATTATTTGATAAATAAATAATTACATTTGTTGAATACATACGCAGATAAGTTAAAAGTTTGTTAACCATTATGGAATATTATTGTGTAAAACAAATACTTAACTATAAGCAGGCGCGTAGCTAGAAATTTCTAAGGGAGGGTGTTATTCAAAATTAATTGAACAAATTATAA